AGCCTGGCCAATATGGTGAAACCCCATCTCTACTAAAAGTACAAAAATTAGCCAGGCGTGGTGGCGGGCGCCTGTAATCCCAGCTACTGGGGAGGCTGAGGCAGGAGAATCGCTTGAACCCGGGAGGCAGAGGTTGCGGTGAGCTGAGATCCTGCCACTGCACTCCAGCCTGGGGGACACAGGGATACTCTGTCTCTAAATAAATAAATAAATAAAATAATAAAGTATCATGATGTAGCAACCCTAGAAACAGATTCTCCCCACTCATAAGGATTTGTTATTATTGCTTGTTGTAGTTGCTTTTTATTATTTTTACTTACTTATTTTTATTATTATTTGAGACAGGATCTTGCTCTGTCTCCCAGGCCACTGTATAGTGGCATGATTGTGGCTCACTACAGCCTCTAAATCCCGGGCTTAAGGGGTCCTCCTGCCTCAGCCTTCTGAGTAGCTGGGACTACAGGTGTGCGCTACCAAGCTCAGATAATTTTATTATTATTATTCTTTTGAGACAGCGTCTTACTCTGTTGCCCAGGCTGGAGTGCAGTGGCGCGATCTCGGCTCACTGCAAGCTCCGCCTCCCAGGTTCACGCCATTCTCCTGCCTCAGCCTCCCAAGTAGCTGGGACTACAGGTGCCCGCCACCATACCTGGCTAATTTTTTGTGTTTTTTAGTAGAGACAGGGTTCACCATGTTAGCCAGGATGGTCTCGATCTCCTGACCTTGTGATCCACCAGCCTCGGCCTCCCAAAGTGCTGGGATTACAGGCATGAGATCGTGCCTGGCCCATTTTATTATTATTATTTATTTATTTATTTATTTTTTGAGACGGAGTCTTGCTCTGTGGCCCAGGCTGGAGTGCCGTGGCCAGATCTCAGCTCACTGCAAGCTCTGCCTCCCGGGTTTACGCCATTCTCCTGCCTCAGCCTCCCGAGTAGCTGGGACTACAGGCGCCTGCCATCTCGCCTGGCTAGTTTTTTGTACTTTTTTTTTTTTTAGTAGAGACGGGGTTTCACCGGGTTAGCCAGGATGGTCTCGATCTCCTGACCTCATGATCCGCCCATCTCAGCCTCCCAAAGTGCTGGGATTACAGGCTTGAGCCACCGTGCACGGCCTCTTATTTATTTTTTTTAAGGGATTAAGTTTTACTGTGTTGCTCAGACTGGTCTTGAACTTCTGGGCTCAAGCAATCCTCCCACCTCATTCTCCCAAACTGTTGGAATTACAGGGGTGAGCTACTGCACCTGACCTATAGTTGGTTTTTAAAAAAGAGACTTTTCTGAACTATTCCTGTAATATCTGTGTTCTTTGTCGTGTTCAACCACTGAAGTGTCTGTTCTCTGATTTTAGTGGTTAGCTAATGACTGGAGAGAGATTTCCTTAAACTGGAACAACAACAAAATCTTCTAGTCTTTGCCAAATGGCTCTGTGTACCTGATGAGGCACACCTTTAACACTCAGATAGACAATTTACAACTCTACCTTAGCCTTCCCTTCCTGCTGGTGCAGCGTTTCAAGCTTTCAAGGTCAGCCAGAGGTGAAAAGCTTGGGGCCTTCTCAGAACTTTCCCAAGCATGTACACAACCCTACATGGGCCAATGGCTTTCTACCTTCCCAGGAATTTGTTGGAATATTTCAAGGCTTCAAAAGATATCTCCATCAGATTTTCCTTTTAAGATTTTTTTGTTTTTTATTGCTTCCCCCAACTGTTATCCATTGCCTTTGGCAGTAGCAACATTAAAACAAGCGTACATTTTTTTTTCTTTACAAATGTTCCCTCTCCCACTCCGTGTTAGTCCATTCTTGCATTGCTATAAAGGAATACTCGAGGCTGGGTATAAATAAAAGAGGTTTAATTGGCTTATGGTTCACAGGCTGATGAGCATGGTGCCAATATCTGCTCAGCTTTTGGTGAGGGCCTCATAGCAGAAGGTGATGGAGCCAGCATATCACCTGGCAAGAGCGGGAGCAAGGAGGTGCCACACAGGTGGCTTTTTTTTTTTTTTTTTGAGATGGAGTCTCACTCTGCCACCCAGGCTGGAGTGCAGTGGCGTGATCTCGGCTCACTGCAACCTCCACCTCCTGAGTTCAAGTGATTCTTCTGCCTCAGCCTCCCAAGTAGCTGGGACTACAGGCATGCACCACTGTGCCCGGCTAATTTTTGTATTTTCAGTAGAGACAGGGTTTCACCACGTTGGCCAGGCTGGTCTTGAATTCCTGACCTCAAGTGATGTGCCCACTTTGGCTTCCAAGAGTGCTGGGATTGCAGGCATGAACCACTGCACTCAGCCTGGGTGTTACATTTTTTTGTTGTTGTTTTTGATACAGGATCTCAGTGTCATCCAGACTGGAGTGCAGTGGCACAATCCTGGCTCACTGCAACCTCCACCTCCCAGGTTCAAGTGATTCTTCAACCTCAGCCTCCTGAGGAGCTGGGACTACAGGTGCACACCACCACACCCGGCTAATTTTTGTGGGTTTTTTTTTTTTTTTTGGTAGACATAGGGTCTCACCATGTTGTCCAGGCTGGTCTCAAACTCCTTAGCTCAAGCAATCCTCCTGCCTCAGCCTCCCAAAGTGCTGGGATTACAGGTGTGAGCCACTGTGCCTGGCAAGGGATTACATTTTAACATGAGATTTGGAGAGGAAAAACATCCAAATCTTTCCTTCAACTATCAGAGATATTTTCAGGGATTTGCCAGTTCTGAAAAGGAAAGACAACTATTCTGTGTGGGGTCTTCCCAGGCATCACTTAACAATCATAGAATGGACTGGGCGCAGTGGCTCATGCCTGTAATCCCAGCACTTTGGGAGGCCGAGGCAGGTGGATCACGAAGTCAGGAGATCCAGACCATCCTGGCTAATACGGTGAAACCCCGTCTCTACTAAAAATACAAAAAATTAGCCGGGTGTAGTGGCGGGTCCCTGTACAGTCCCAGCTACTTCGGAGGCTGAGGCAGGAGAAGGGCGTGATCCTGGGAGGCGGAGCTTGCAGTGAGCCGAGATCGCGCCACTGCATGACAGAGCGAGACTCCATCTCAAAAAAAAAAAAAAAAAAAAAAATCATAGAATGACTCTTCTTTGGGTAATAAGGCTTTGAATGAGTTCTAGCTTCATTCTGCTTCCTCCCTGTGGGAAATGTGGGCTGTTACTTTCCAGGGTTCCTGCTGAGCTAGGGAGTGGAAGATAGGACTAGGATAAATTAAAATTCCTCAAGTCTTGACGTTTTTATCGAGAGTCACTTTTCTTGAATAAATGCTCCTTGAGTTTCTACAAGCCTTTGGTTAATTTCCAGAATTGTGAAAAAACTGATTTTTTTTTGTTGTTGTTGTTGTTGTTGTTGAGACGGAGTCTCCCTCTGTCACCCAGGCTGGAGCCCAGTGGCGCATCTCAGCTCACTGCAAGCTCCGCCTCCCGGGTTTACACCATTCTCCTGCCTCAGCCTCCCGAGTAGCTGGGATTACAGGCGCCCGCCACCTCGCCCGGCTAGATTTTTGTATTTTTTTAGTAGAGACGGGGTTTCACTGTGTTAGCCAGGATGGTCTCGATCTCCTGACCTCGTGATCCGCCCGTCTCGGCCTCCCAAAGTGCTGGGATTACAGGCTTGAGCCACCGCGCCCAGCCAACTGATTTTTTTTTTCAAAGCCCATGTTTTGTTAGTTTTTCATTGTTTTTATGGAGGGGTGGAATTTTTGCTTTTTTTTTTTTTTTTTTTTTTTTTTTTTTGAGACGGAGTCTAGCTCTGTCGCCCAGGCTGGCGTGCAGTGGCGCATCTCTGCTCACTGCAAGCTCCGCCTCCGGGGTTCACGCCATTCTCCTGCCTCAGCCTCCCGAGTAGCTGGGACTACAGTCGCCTGTCACCACACCTGGCGAATGTATTTTTTTTTTTTTTTTTTGAGATGGAGTCTCGCTCTGTCGCCCAGGCTGGAGTGCAATGGCGCCATCTAGGCTCTCTGCAACCTCTGCCTCCTGGATTCAAGGGATTCTCCTGTGTCAGTCCGTCTCCCAAGTAGCAGGGATTACAAGTGCCTGCCACCACGCCTGGCTAATTTTTGTATTTTTAGTAGAGACGGGGTTTCACCACGTTGGCCAGGCTGTTCTCAAACTCTTGACCTCAAGTGATCCATCCACCTTGGCCTCCCAAAGTGCTGGGATTACAGGTGTGGGCCACTGTGACCGGCCTGAATTCTTTAATCCACCATTTTGTTGATGTCAACTGGATACAATATTTCTTTTTTTTCTTTTCTTTTTTTTTTTTTTTTTTTTTTTTTTTGAGGCGGAGTCTCACTCTGTCGCCCAGGCTGAAGTGCAGTGGCGCGATCTCGGCTCACTGCAAGCTCCGCCTCCTGAATACAATATTTCTTACCACACTTCTTCTCCAGAGCAATCATGCAAGAAATGTGTTGGCCAGGCGCGGTGGCTCAAGCCTGTAATCCCAGCACTTTGGGAGGCCGAGGCGGGCGGATCACAAGGTCAGGAGATCGAGAACATCCTGGCTAACACCGTGAAACCCCGTCTCTACTAAAAAAAAAAAAAATACGAAAAACCAGCCGGGCGAGGTGGCGGCGCCTGTAGTCCCGGCTACTCGGGAGGCTGAGGCAGGAGAATAGCGTGAACCCGGGGGGCGGAGCTTGCAGTGAGCCGAGATAGCGCCACTGCACTCCAGCCTGGGGCACAGAGCAAGACTCCGTCTCAAAAAAAAAAAAAAAAAAAAGAAAGAAATGTGTTGCTGCCTCCATCTTACAAGGGAGGAAACTTGTTCTTTCTTTCTTTTGTGTATTAGTTCAGCAACCATGAGATAAATCAAGAGAGCTGTGTTTTTTTGGCACATAAAAGACTTGATAAGCATAGTAGCTCTGCTCTTCAAATGCAGCAGGTTACAGGCTTCTATATTCCGGTTGCTCAGCCATTTCTAGACAGTCGCTATCACCACTGCCTTCCAGCCATTAAGCAGGAGGAACAGGGGAAGAGATCATGCCTGTCTTTTCCACACATCCACCAGTGCCCACTTCCCTTCCACTGGCTGGAATTGGTCATAACCAGCTGGCAGATGGCTCTCTGCCTCTCTTTCCCTTCAAGTGTGAAATAAGAACATCAATGATATTGAAGTTATACATTTGACTACTGTAAAAAAACAAACAAAACAAAACAAAACAAAACAAAAACCCCACAAAATAACACAGCTTGAATAACACAGAAGATGTAATGTCTCACCCTGAAAGTCTTCACAGGTGATTGGAATGGAGTATGGTGGCTCCATGTCAAGGATTCAGGCTCCTTCTGTCTCGTTGTGTCCTCTATCTGCTGGTCCAAGACAGCCCTCAATTGTGCATTCCAGTGAAATGAGAGAAAAAGGGAAAGTTCTTATTCCTTTAAGGGATGACTCAGAAATTGACTATAATTCTGCATAGTCCAAGTAATGATGTAGGCAAAAAAAAAAAAAAAGAGAGAGAGAGAGAGAGAGAGAGAGAGACAGGAGGCTGGGTGTAGTGGCTCAATCCTGTAAGACCAACACTTTTGGAGGCTGACACAAAAGGATCACTTGAGCCCAGGAGTTTGTGGCCAGCTTGGGTAACATAGTGAGAACCCATCTATACCAAACATTTTAAAATTTTGCTGGGCATGGTAGCAAGCACCTGTAGTCTTAGCTACTTGGGAGGCTGAGGCAGGAGGATCATTTGAGCCCAGGAGTTGGTGAGCTATGATAGTATCACTCCACACCAGCCAGAGTAATAATGAGAGACCCCCCGACCTCTCCCCAAAATAAATTGACATTATTTCCACTCACATTCCATTGGACAGACCTTAGTCACATGGCCACATCTAGCCGCAAGGGAACCTGGGAAATGTAGTCTCTGATTGGACAGTCCTATGCCAGGCTAAGGCTTCTGTAACTGTCCAAGCTGGGAGAATGGATCCTACCACTTGCATCTCTCCTGAACCACAGATTGGCAGGAGTCGCACAACATTTTATGTGATATAAAGTAATGATGACCAGAGGCCACATGGTGTCATGGTTTAAAACAAGGGTTCTGAATCTAGATTCTGATGAGGTCACCTAATGTGCTGAGTACCTGGGAAGACAAGGGATAGCCCATTTCTGAGACACATTTGTCTCACTTGTAAAATAGGCCAAATAACCTCAAGAGGTGTGGTTGTGAAGAATAAAAGACAAGTGCTTGGTGCATTGCAAGTGCTCAGATCTGAAAAGTGTCTTCCTGGTCAGGCGCGGTGGCTCACGCCTATAATCCCAGCACTTTGGGAGGCCAAGATGGGCAGATCACAAGGTCAGGAGATCGAGACCATCCTGGCTAACACAGTGAAACCCCATCTCTACTAAAAATACAAAAAATTAGCCAGGCATGGTGGCGGGTGCCTGTAGTCACAGCTACTTGGGAGGCTGAGGCAGGAGAATGGCATGAACCCGGGAGGCGGAGGTTGCAGTGAGCCGAGATCGTGCCATTGCACTCCAGCCTGGGTGACAGAGCTAGACTCTGTCTCAAAAAAAAAAAAAAAAAAACCGAAAATAAAAGAAAAGTGGCTTCCTTTGTAATTCACCATTTCCTGGAGAGAGAGCCAGGGCATGTGTTTTCAAAGTTCATCTTTTTATGCTGTGGACCCCAAGGACTTTTTTTTTTTTTTTTTTAGAGACTTGCTCTGTCACCCAGACTGGAGTGTGGTGGTACAATCTCAGCTCACTGCAGCCCCTGCTTCCTAGGTTGAAGCAGTTCTCCAGCCTCAGCCTCCCAAGTAGCTGGGATTAAAGGCACGGACCACCATGCCCGGCTAATTTTTGTATTTTTAGTATAGTTGGGGTTTCACCATGTTGGCCAAGTTGGTCTTGAACTCCTGACCTCAAGTGATCCACCCACCTCGGTCTCCCAAAGTGCTGGGATGACCAGAGTGAGCCACGGCACCTGGCCCCCAAAGACATTTAGCTCAGTGTTTGGTTGAGTTCATCCTTCTTCCTCCACGTGTCTGAGCACCCCACCTCCATCCCCTATTCCCTCCTGGATCCTATTTTTCTCCCAGCCCACCATGAAGAAAGGTCATTTATCCCCTGGGTTTGCTGCACAGGAATGCTAAGAATCAGAGGTGTAGCTCTTGGCTCCAAGTCACACAGCCATTCCAGGGCAAAATCAAGGTGTAAACACAGCCTCCCAGTTCTGGAATTTTTCTTGGGCTTGGGGCTTGCACCCACACACCATATAACTCACCTGTCTCCCATTCTTCCCCAGAGTGGGGTCAACAGTGGATTGGTCCGCGCCAAAGACTCCATCACCAGCTTGAAGGAAAAGACCACCCGGGTTAACCAGCACGTGCAGACTCTGCAGGTGTGAGGACACCCTATGTCCAACACCTGCCCTTTCTCCAGAGCTAACTTCCCTGTTTGGAGCCTGCCTCCAGCGGAACACACCCATAGCTCAGTTGGGGAGCTTGAGGCTCAGAAGGGAGAGGAACCTTCCCAGGCCCAGATATTCTTTTCCCCAGGCTGTCCCCTTGTGTCCTTGGCTAACCTCTCCTCCTTCCATGCTCCAGAGTGAGTGTTCTGTGCTGAGCGAGAATCTGGAGAGAAGGCGGCAAGAGGCAGAAGAGTTGGAGGGGTACTGCATTCAACTCAAGGTGAGCCAGTGGGATGCAGGAGTGGGTGGGGAGAGGGGAATGGGAATAAGAGGGTGGAACAAAGAGGGGAGGAGGCTGGGCGCAGAGGCTCACATCTGTAATCCCAGCACTTCAGGAGGCCGAGGCAGGCAGATCGCCTGAGGTCAGGAGTTTGAGACTAGCCTGGCCAACATGGTGAAACCCCATCTCTACTAAAAATACAAAAACTAGCCAGGTGTGGTGGTGCGCACCTGTAATCCCAGCTACTCGGCTTAGGGAGGAGAATCACTTGAATCCAGGAGGTGGAGGTTGCAGTGAGCCAAGATTGCACCACTGTACTCCAGCCTGGGTGCTGGAGCAAGACAGTCTCAAAAGAAAAAAAAAAGAGGGGAGGAATGGAGTGGGTGGATCAACAAGAGGTGGGAGGAAGTGGAGGGGTACCACTCTGGCACGTCTGGCTAAGGAGGAAGCCATCCCTTTAGCCAAGGAAATGAGCTGGTGAGTGTGTCTTTTTTTTTTTTTTTTTTGAGACGGAGTCTCGCTCTGTCGCCCAGGCTGGAGTGCAGTGGCCGGATCTCAGCTTACTGCAAGCTCCGCCTCCCGGGTCTACGCCATTCTCCTGCCTCAGCCTCCCAAGTAGCTGGGACTACAGGCGCCCGCCACCTCGCCCGGCTAGTTTTTTGTATTTTTTAGTAGAGACGGGGTTTCACCATGTTAGCCAGGATGGTCTCGATCTCCTGACCTCGTGATCCGCCCGTCTCGGCCTCCCAAAGTGCTGGGATTACAGGCTTGAGCCACCGCGCCCGGCCAAGTGTGTCTTGTATTGAGGGGCTGGGAGGCCTGGAGCCTGTATGGAAATAGACAGGCTAAGGGTTGGGAGGCAGAACTGAAATGGGAAGGCAGGGCCCTCGCCCTGGTGTCTGACCCAGGAGAACTGCTGGAAGGTGACCCGGTCTGTGGAAGATGCTGAAATCAAAACCAACGTCTTGAAGCAGAATTCTGCCTTGCTGGAGGTAAGGAATGGAGGAGGTCCCAGGATTTGTGGGAGGAGGTCAGATGCGCGAGGGACTCAAGATACCCTTTTTTTTTTTTTTTTTTTTTTTTTTTTTTTTTTTTTTGAGGCGGAGTCTCGCTCTGTCACCCAGGCTGGAGTGCAGTGGCCGGATCTCAGCTCGCTGCAAGCTCACCTCCTCGCCATTCTCCTGCCTCAGCCTCCCAAGTAGCTGGGACTACAGGCGCCTGCCACCTCGCCCGGCTAGTTTTTGTATTTTTTAACTTAGTAGAGATAGAGTTTCACCAGTTAGCCAGGATGGTCTCGATCTCCTGACCTCGTGATCCACCCGTCTCGGCCTCCCAAAGTGCTGGGATTACAGGCTTGAGCCACCGCGCCCGGCCTCAAGATACACTTTTAGGTGGAACTCCCGCCCGGCACCACCACCACACTGCGCCTGCGTGCACAGTCATCACTTAGAACCCACTGATAAGAGGGATTCAAGTGAGGCTCAACACCCAGCTGAGGACTCTTACCTGCAGTCACATTCAGGTCCCAGAAAGAGACTCGAGCTGGACTTCAAGTGAGAAGGGCTGTCCTGTCCACATGCCCACTCATTTTCCAACAAAATGCTGAGAAAGCTTCAGTTGTTCTTGCCAAGTGGCCGGGACTGGTATTTGACGCCTGGAAGGCTCGGAGGTGGTGGATACCTGGAGGCAGGCTGTGGGAGGAGTTAGCGGGGTGGAGTCCAACTGGGCCTCCAAATGGTGCCTCCCTCCTAATGGCAGCCAGTGGGACTTCCAACATCCTGCTCCCCCACGACGTTCTACTTCAATCTTGAGGGAGTAATGGAGCGGATTTGGGGGTAGAGGTAGTTGCCCGGAGAAGCGGCTGGGCGCTGTGACCCGTCCGTCCTCCGCCGACCAGGGAGAAGCTGCGCTACCTCCAGCAGCAGCTGCGGGATGAGAGCGCTGACGGCAGGGGCAGGCTGCAGGAGCCAGAGCAGCAGCAGAAGCCGGAGGCTGAGTCTCTCCAGGCGAGCGTAGGCCCGCCGCCACGTCCCAGGGCTGCCCGGCCCGCCAGGGAGTCCTGACAAACCCTCGGCCTCGCGGCCTGGTCCCGCCCAGGCTGGGGAATGGGGCCTCGGGCAGGTGAGGGCCCCTACGTGAGTGAGCAGGAATTGCAGAAGGTGTTCACCAGCATTGAGGAGCTGAGGTAGGCGGGGCCTAGGGCGGGGCCTCGAGGCAGGTGGGCAGGGACTCAGGGTGGAGCCTCGAGGAGCTGCGGTGGGCGGGACCCAAGGGACGGGGTTCTCAAAGAGAGGCATGGGTGGAGACTCAGGGAGCCTCGTGGAGCTGAGGTGGGCGGTGATATCGGTGGAGCCTCGAGGAACCTGAGGTGGGAGGGACATGGGGAGGAGCCTCGAGGAACGAAGGTGGGCAGAGGCGTGGGCAGTTTCCAGGCTGCAGTGAGGCAGGGGACACAGGGGAGGATCCTCAAAGATTTTAACCGGAGGACGACAAGCCTGGGGTCTCAAGAGCAGAGGAGGGGAGTGCCCGAAGGCAGTGACCTGAGCAAAGGAGGGACAAAATAATAGATTTTGAGTTCTGGGCTGGAGGCAGGTCAGGCCTGGTGTGTGAGAAAGCTGAGGTGGGCAGGGCTTGGGAGGAGCAGTCCTGGAGGCACTGAGTGGGGCAGAGTAGGGTGGGCAGTGCCTTGGGGGGCAGTGTGTGGAGGAGCCCAGAGTAGAGGTTGGGGACCTGACCGAGGAAGGGCCAAGACAGCCAGTAAAGTAAGGGGATAAAGGCGGGGCTCTGGAAGACAGGACCAAATTTCACCAAATGGAGGGTGCAAGAAAATTTGGAGACCTGGGTGGGTCTGGAGCCACCTGCATGGTCTCAGTGGGGGGCGAGGTGGTGAGTCTGTTCCGCCTATCTCGTGAGGGCAGATGGGAGGACCTGTCCAAGCCTAGCCCGACCCACATTCCCCCTCTCTGCCCCTCCAGGAGAGAAGTGTCCTCGCTGACTTCGCGGTGGCATCAGGAGGAGGGGCGGTGCAGGAAGCCCTGCGACTGCTCGGGGCCTGGGCGGCTTGGTCGGCGGCTTCCTGGGCCAGTGGGAGGCGGGCACAGGCGAGCAGTACAGACGGCGCGGGAGCTTGCAGGAGCTGCGAGGTCGGGCGGACCGAGGCTGTGTGCGATGTAAGGCTGGGTGGCCAGTGCTTGCAGGAAGACCCGGAAGGGCAGGCGATCCCAGCAGAGACGCGAGGGAAATGGGTAGGCCAATCAGCTATGGCCAGGCATTCTGGAACATATGGCGACATGGGGAAACACCAATTAGAGAGCAGGAGGTTGCATCAACCTAATAAGGCCTGAGGGTGGAATCAATTAGAGAAGGGGGTGTGGTCTATACCTTAAAGGACAAGGGTGGGGTCAAGAGGATCTGAAAGCCAATTAGAGAACTAGGAGGGCATTCCAAACAATAATCTACAAAAGGTGGTGGCCCAGTGAGGTGGCTCCGTCTATAATCCCAGCACTTTGGGAGGCCGAGCGGCCCAGTTACTTGAGGCCAGGAGTGCAAGACCAGCCTGGGCAACATAGCGGAGACCCTATCTCTACAAACAATTTAAAAATTAGCTGGGAGTGGTGTGGTGTCGCACCATGGTAGTCCCTAGCCACTCGGGAGGCTGAGGCAGGAGTGACCGCAGGCCCAGGAGTTCAAGGCCGCAGAGCTGCCAGTGGTGATGCTGCACTCCAGCCTGGGCAACACAGCCAGACCACCTGGCTCAAAATGATCAATAGATAAATAAACTACCATAACATAAAATAAAATACAAAAAGTGAGGCCAGTCAGAGCAGAGAGGGGAGGGCAGGGTGGAGAATTGCAGACCAGATGGAGACATAAGTGGTGGACTAATAATGGGTGGAGTCTTGCCAGGGTTATACAGCTCAAGAGGGAGCCGGCAGCACTGGTTACTCATGCCTGCACCTCAGAGGGTAGAGGCGGTCAGCAGTGTCTGGCTTCACTGAGGACGGCGAACTGGAGAGGCTGGGCCTGAAACCCATTCTGGAGGAGTTCGGTGGCAATTTCAGGAAAAACTCTCGAAGAGGGCCTGACCTCTCCATGAACAGATCGGTCCCAACAAGGCAACTGTGCCAGCTGTGCCAGGTAATGAGGCTAGGCCTGCCTCTGGGAGTGGCCTTGTGGATAGAACATTAAAGGAGATGTGGAAGGATGGGACATTAGTGAAGGGTGGGCGCTGTTCATTTTGGGAACAAGGCATTCCAGTGCGTAATTTCCTGCTGCACTAGAAGCCTCATTTGTTCCCACTCTACAAGGTAAAATCCAGTGTCTTGTGGAACTCAAGAGAAACTTGGTATAGACGGGCGCGGTGACTCTCATGCCTGTAATCCCAGCACTTTGGGAGACCAAGGTGGGTGGATCACTTGGTATCAGGAGTTCGAGACCAGCCTGGCCAATGTGGTGAAACCCGTATCTATAAATACAAAAAGAAATTAGCTGGGCGTGGTGGCGTGTGCCTGTAATCCCAGCTACTGAGGAAGTTGGGGCATGAAAATCACTTGAACCCGGGAGGCGGAGGTTGCAGTGAGCTGAGATCACAACAATGCACTCCACCCTGGTAGGCAGAGTGAAACTGTGTATCAAAAAAAAAAAAAAAAAAAAGGAAAAAGGCTGGATGCAGTGGCTAACACCTATAATCCCAGCACTTTGGGAGGCCAAGACAGGCAGATCACTGAGGTCAGGAGTTTGAGACCAGCCTGGCCAACATAGTGAAACCCCGTCTCTACTACAAACACAAAAATTAGCTGGGCGTAGTGGTGAGCGCTTGTAATCCCAGCCACTCGGGAGGCTGAGGCGGGAGAATCTCTTGAACCTGGGAAGTGGAGGTTGCGGTGAGCCAAGATCGCGCCATTGCACTCCAGCCTGGGCGACAGCAAGACTCCGTCTCAAAAAAAAAAAAAAAAAAACAACTTGGTACATTTTGAACATCATATTTCCAGTGCATTGAGGGAAGGCTGGGATGTGAACATGAGGAGGCAGGGTTTCAGTGCACTGTGTGGGGGAAGTGAGACCTTGGTGTATTGTGGGGCCAAGGGGATACACCATTTGGTCCATTTATTGGGAAGGTCCATTGTAGGAAAGGGGGACTCACAATACAACATGAAATCGAGTTTCACTAGTGCATTATAGGAAGCGTTAGTTATAACAGCCTTTCTAAACTCAGGGTTGTCTGGTGTCCTTAGGAATGGTGATTCCAGCCGGGCGTGGTGGCTTATGCCTGTAATCCCAGCACTTTGGGAGGCCAAGTGGGAGGATCACCAGAGGTCAGGAGTTTAAAGACCAGACTGGCCAACATGGTGACAACCATATCCACTAAAAATACAAAAATTAGCTGGGTGTGGTGGCAGGTGCCTGCAATCCCAGCTACTCAGGAGGCTGAGGCAGGAGAATCGCGCTGAACCCAGGGAGGCAGAGGTTGCAGTGAGCCCAGATCATGCCACTGTACTCCAGCCCGGGTGACAGAGCAAGACTCCATCTCAAAAAAAACCAAAAAGAGTCCAGGCCCAGTGACTCAACCTGTAATCCCAGCACTTTGGGAGGCTGAGGTGGGCAGATCATGAGGTCAGGAGATCAAGACCATCCTGGCCAACATGGTGAAACCCTGTTTCTACTAAAAATACGAAAATTAGCTGGGTGTGGCGGCACATGCCTGTAGTCCCAGCTACTTGGGAGGCTGAGGCAGGAGAATCGCTTGAACTCGGGAGGCGGAGGTTGCAGTGAGCCAAAATCGCGCCACTGCACTCCAGCCTGGGTGACAGAGCAAGACTTCGTCTTAAAAACAACAAAAAGTGGTAATCCCCAGGCACCATGAGAGCAAGGGACTGGTCACAGTCCATGCTGGGAAGGTTGCATAGGGTGCATACTGAAACAAGGCCAAATGGGCTGTGCAGGTAGGCATGGGGCACCCTGGACTTGGTACTGGACCTCTTTATCTGGTGACCACCCCTCCCCCAGCCAGGGTCGCAGTTGTCCACGGAGTCCCACTGCAGCAGCTGCTGGACCGGCGCTGATCCCGCTAGTGGACCGAGGTGAAGCAGAGGGCCTGACTCCCTGCCTGTCCCAGCTGTCAGAGGCTACACAAGAAGATTCTGGTACCAGGAATATGGGCCACCATGTCCCACTTTTACTTTCTGTTGGGGCAAGGAGAGGAGCCCGGACTCAAGGAGTACTGCTGGTGTGTGGCAGGAAAGGAAGGGCAAGCTGGGAGCAGCAAGCACTGAGAGGACTTGGCTGATGCATGGGGAGACGGACAAGCAGTTTGGTGGTGAGTGAGTCACAGGCCAATCATTACGAAACCTCAGAAGGTGGACTTGGGCCTAAAGCATGATGGGACATTGGATCTAGTGCATTGTGGGACACGAGACAGGCACCAGTCTAAAGCTTCATGGAATATGGCCTGATTTTCTCCTAAATTTTTAGAGAGGCAGTACATTGTCTGAGATCATTGGGGTCAGCTATATTGAGGTAAGATAGGAGACCCAGTGACTGTAAGTCCCAGTTAGCTGATGCGTTATGGAAATGGAACACAGCTCTTCCTGGGGCATTGCACAACACACTCAGCCCAGTAGTTGGTGGAACTTGAGCCCTAGTGCACTGTATTATGGGATGTTGACCTAGTAATGCTATGGGATTATTGTTGTAGTGGGTGAGACAGACAGAGTGAGGCATTGTGAGACACTGATGTGACTGAGCTATCACGAATAATACATGAGAGGGCGTGGGGTTGGTGCAGTTGGACATAGAGAACTAGGGCACTAAGGATTGTTTTGTTTGCTTTTTTGTTGTTGTTGTTGTTTGTTTTGTTTTGTTTTGGGGAACGGCATCTTGCTCTGTCGCCCAGGCTGGAATGCAGTGGCCGGATCTCAGCTCACTGCAAGCCCGCCTCAGGAGTTCACACCATTCTTCTGCCTCAGCCTCCCGAGTAGCTGGGACTACAGGTGCCCGCCACCACGCCTGGCTAAGTTTTTGTATTTTTAGTGGAGACGGGGTTTCACTGTGTTAGCCAGGATGGCCTCGATCACCTGACCTCATGATCCGCCCACCTCAGCCTCCCAAAGTGCTGGGATTACAGGCATGAGCCACCGTGCCCGGTCCTTTTTTTTTTTTCTTTTGAGACAGAGTCTCACTCTGTTGCCCAGGCTGGAGTGCAGTGGCACCGTCTTGGCTCATTGCAACCTCCCGTCCCAGGTCCAGAGATTCTCATGTCTCAGCCTCCGGAGCAGCCAGGATTACAGGCATATGCCACCACACCCGGCTAATTTTGTACTTTTAGTAGAGACGGGGTTTCACCCTGTTGGCTAGGCTGGTCTCGAACTCTTGACCAAAGTGCTGGGATTACAGTGCGAACCACTGCACCCGGCCAGGACTTTGTGTGAGAGGGTGCTGGTCTAATGGATAAGAGATGTAGAGTGCTCTTCTAACATATGGGATGTAGGAGGCCATATGAGGTAGGATACTGGGGCACATACACATATCAAATGTAAGATAGTTCATGAGCTTAGGAGACAGATGATAGACACTGATTTAGTGCTTGTGGGCCATAGGTCAGTGCATCATGGGACTTGAACAATAGGACAGACATAGGTTTAGTCCCACAGGAATCTGGAGACCAGGTGCATTTGTGGGATGCTGGGGTCAGTTTCAAGCTCAAGGCATGATGGGAAACTCTGAGGGAGAAATGTGGGCCCCATGGGGACCCTGCGCTGCCCTCCCGCAATCCAGCTCCCCTGCCCCAGCCCAGTCCAGCAAGCCCAGCTACACCTCGCTCCCTCTCTCCCCAGGAGCTGGAGCGCCAGGCCTTAGCCAAACACGTCAGGGCAGAGGCCCTGAGCTCCACCCAACCGGCTGGCCCAGGCGAGGCCCTGCGGAGCCAAGTCACCACTGCTGACAGACAAAGATGAAGAAGCGGAGTGAGGAAGGAGAGCTGAGGAGGCATAGGAGGAGGAGTGAATCTTGAGAAAGGGCCTGATCTCCCCCTTCACTTTCGAACACCCCAGCACCTAGCCATGTTGCCATCAACTCCCCACTGCCTCATGACAGGGAGAAGATGGCCACTCTGGACCATCTACATTTGAAGACGTGCTCCCTCCACGATCATCTCAGCAACCTGCCACTTGAGGGGTCCACAGGAACAATGGGGGGAGGCAGCAGTGCGGGAACCCCCCCAAAACATGGGGGCTTAGGCCCTGAACAATAAATGGCCCCTCATGCTGGCATGAATTCTGTCTGCTTTTTTGGCACCAGAGGGCTAGTGAATTGCCCACACACCATGCACTCCCTCTATGCCCAGTGTGATTTATTTATTTTAATTAATTTGATTATTCTTTTTGAGACAGATTCTCACTCTGTCGCCCAGGCTGGAGTGCAGTGTTGTGATCTCGGTTCACTGCAACCTCTGCATCCTGGGTTCAAGCAGTTCTCCTGTCTCCCAGCCTCGAGTAGCTGGGACTACATTCACACACCATCATACCCAGCTAAGTTTTGTATTTTCCAGTAGAAACAAGGTTTCCCCATGTTGCCCAGGCTGGTCTCAAACTCCTGAGCTCAGGCAATCTGCCTTGCCTTGCCTTGTAAAGTGCTAGGATTACAGGTGTGAATCACCACACCCGGCCCACTGTGATTTATTTAATTTTCAGCAAACAGGATGTAAAGTGGTCCCCAGAGAGGTGCTAATGGTGGCACAGTTCTTTGAGATGGCAATGGAGGTAGAAACAAGGTTCTGTGGTGTAGTTTGGGTCTGTCAAGTCACATTTTTAGGCTGATTATTACCAGATAACTATGTAGTTGTCTTGTTTGTTTTGTTTTTGTTTTTGTTTTTTGAGACAGAGTCTCGCTCTGTCGCCCAGGCTGGAGTGCAGTGGCGCCATCTCGGCTCACTGCAGGCTCCACGCCTCCCGGGTTCACGCCATTCTCCTGCCTCAGCCTCCCCAGTAGCTGGGACTACAGGCACCCGCCACCACGCCTGGCTAATCTTTTTGTATTTTTTTAGTAGAGATGCGGTTTCACCATGTTAGCCAGAATGTTCTCAATCTCCTGACCTCAAGTGATCTGCCCAGCTCAGCCTCCCAAAGTGCTGGGATTACAGGCGTGAGCCACCGCACCCGGTTAGTTGTCTATTGTTGTGTAGAAATACCCCATAAGTATTTTTTGTTATATGCTTAGCCCAAGGTAACAGCGTATCTCAACTTCTGAAGGTCAAAAATACAATCAGTTAACCTGGCTCTGGGGTTAGCTCTCATTTAGTCCTAGCTCAGACCCCCCATGAAGTTAGAGTCAAGATGTCAGCCAGGACCAGGTGCGGTGGCTCACACCTGTAATCCCAGCACTTTGGGAGGCTGAGGCGAGGAGATCACCTGAGACCAGGAGTTTGAGACCAGCTTGGCCAACATGGGTAAGAACCCTGTCTCTACTAAAGAAATACAAAAATTAGCCGAGACACGCACCTGTGTCCAACTACTTGGGGAGCTAAAACACAAGAATCACCTGAACCCGGGAGGCAGGTGCAGTGAGCCGAGATCATGCCACTGCACTCCAGCCTGGTGACTGAAACAAGACTCCATCTCAAAAAAAAAAAAGAAGACAATTAGCTAGGTGTGGTGGCACAAGCCTGTAATCCCAGCTACTCCAGAGGCGGGGCGGGATAATTGCTTGAACCCAGGAGTCAGAGGTTGCAGTGAGCCAAGATCGTGCCACTATACTCCAGCCTGGGTGACAGAGCAAGACTCCATCTCAAAACAAACAAACAAAAAAACAACAAAAAAACAAAACGAAAAACACTACAACAAAAGGCTATGGGAATATAAGTCAGGAACCGTGGACAAAAACCTATATATGATATATAATAACCACCCATCCATACTGTATGACTCCAACTGTAGGACATTCTGGAAAAGGCAAAACTCTGGAGACGGTAAAAAGATTAGTGTTTGTGGCCAGGTGCAGTAGCTCACACCTGTAATTCTAGCACTATAGGAGGCCGAGGTAAGTGGACCACTTGAGGCTAGGGGTTTGAAACAGTCTGGCCAACATGGTGAAACCCTGTCTCTACTAAAAATACAAAAAGTAGCTAGGTGTAGTGGCACACACCTGTAATTCTAGCTACTTGGAGGCTGAGCAGAATCACTTGAACCTGGAGGTGGAGCACCACTGCATTCCAGCCTGGAGCTGACAAGCGTGAGACTGTATCTCAAGAAAACAAACAAAAAAACCTGTTTGCAGGGTGGGGAGGAGGGATGAACAGGTGGCACACAGAGTATTTTAGGGCCATGAAACAACTCTGTGTGATACTGTTAGTGGTGAACATGTCATTATACATTTGTCCAAAACCATGTACAACACCAAGTGTGAACCTAATGTCAGCTATGGACTTTTGGGTGATAATGATGTGTCACGGTAGGATTGATCCAGCCATAAAAGAATGTACCACTCTAGACCGGGCAAGAGGCTCACACCTGTAATCCCAGCACTTTGGGAGGCCAAGGCGGGGTGGATCACCTGAGGTCAGGAGTTTGAGACCAGCCTGGCCAACATGGTGAAACCCCATCTCTACTAAAAAATACAAAAATTAGCTGAGTGTGGTGGCAGGCGCCTGTGGCAATCCCAGCTACTCGGAGGCTGAGGCAGGAGAATCGCTTGAACCTGGGAGGCGGAGGTTGCAGTAAGCCGAGATCGCGCCACTGCACTCCAGCGGGCGACAGAGCGGGGCTCCCGTCTCGAAAAAAAGAAAAAAAAAAAAATGTACCGCTCTGGTGGAGGCTGTTGATAGTGGGAGAAGAGCTGCATGTGTCAGGGAAAGGAGGGTACATGGAACTTTCCACTCAATTCTGCTGTAAATCTAAAACCACTCTAAAAATTAAAGTCTCTTAAAAATCCTGCCCCCAGGCGGCGGTGGCTCAGCCTGTAATCCCAGCACTTTGGGAGGCCGAGGCAGGCGGATCACGAGGTCAGGAGATAGAGACCATCCTGGCTAACCCGGTGAAACCCCGTCTCTACTAAAAAATACAAAAAACTAGCCGGGCGAGGTGGCGGCGCCTGTAGTCCCAGCTACTTGGGAGGCTGAGGCAGGAGAATGGCGTAAACCCGGGAGGCGGAGCTTTGCAGTGAGCTGAAATCCGGCCACTGCACTCCCAGCCTCCTGGGCGACAGAGCGAGACTCCGTCTCAAAAAAAAAAAAAAAAAAAATCCTGCCCAGCAGGGTGCAGTGTCATGCCTGTTAATCCCAGCACTTTGGGAGCCCAAGGTGGTGGATCCCTTGAAGCCCAGGGTTTGGCGTGGCCAGTCCCCAGGGAACATAGCAAGATCTCATGTGTACAAACAAAACAGAAACAGAAACATTTGGCGCTGGGTGTGGTGAAAAGGACACGCCTGTAGTCCCAGCTCCTTGGGTGGCTGAAGTGGGAGAATTGCTTCAGTCTGGGAGGTGGAGGGTATACTGAGCTATTATTTTACCATTGCACTCCAGTCTGGTGACAGAGCAAGGGACTGTCTCAGAAAAGGAAAGAGAGGAGAGGAGAAATGGGGTGGGGAAAGAGCAGGGGGAGAGGAGGGAGGGGGAGAGGAGGGGGAGAGAGGAGAGGGAGGGGAGTGGGAGAGAGGGAGAGAGGAAGGAAGGTAAGAGTCAAGTCAGCAGAAGCAAAAAAACCGATAGATTTATTATTTATTTATTTATTTTTATTTTATTTATTTAGCTGAGTGTGGTGGCAGGCGCCTGTAATCCCAGCTACTCAGGAAGCTGAGGCAGGAGAATCGCTTGAGATTTTTTGAGTTTTTTTTTTTTTTTTTTTTTTTTTTTTTTTGAGGCGGAGTCTCGCTCTGTCACCCAGGCTGGAGTGCAGTGGCCGGATCTCAGCTCGCTGCAAGCTCCACCTCCCGGGTTTACGCCATTCTCCTGCCTCAGCCTCCCAAGTACCTGGGACTACAGGCGCCTGCCACCTCGCCCGGCTAGTTTTTTGTATTTTTTAGTAGAGATGGGGTTTCACCAGGTTAGCCAGGATGGTCTCGATCTCCTGACCTCGTGATCCACCCGTCTCGGCCTCCCAAAGTGCTGGGATTACAGGCTTGAGCCACCGCGCCCGGCCTCAAGATACACTTTTAGGTGGAACTCCCCGCCCCGACACCACCACCACACTGCGCCTGCGTGCACACAGTCATCCTTAGAACCCACTGATAAGAGGGATTCAAATGAGGCTCCAACACCCAGCTGGGGGACTCTTACCCTGCAGTCACATTCAGGTCCCAGAAAGAGACTCGAGCTGGACTTCAAGTGAGAAGGGCTGTCCTGTCCACATGCCCACTCATTTTCCAACAAAATGCTGAGAAAGCTTCAGTTGTTCTTGCCAAGTGGCCGGGACTGGTATTTGACGCCTGGAAGGCTCGGAGGGTCGGGTGGATACCTGGAGGCAGGCTGTGGGAGGTTAGCGGGAATTGGAGTCCAACTGGGCCTCAAATGGTGCCTCCCCTCCCTAATGACAGCCAGTGGGACTTCCAACATCCTGTCCCCACGGGCGTTCTACTTCCAATCTTGGGGAGTAATGGAGCGGATTTGGGGGTAGAGGTAGTTGCGGGAGGAAAGCGGCTGGACGCTGTGACCCCGTCCCGTCCTCCCTTACCGACCAGGAGAAGCTGCGCTACCTCCAGCAGCAGCTGCAGGATGAGACGCCGCGACGGCAGGAGACCGAGCTGCAGGAGCCAGAGCAGCAGCAGAAGCCGGAGGCTGGTCTCTCCCGGAACGGCGTGGGCCCCGCCGCCACGTCCCAGGGCTGCCCCGGCCCGCCAGGGAGTCCTGACAAACCCTCGCGGCCTCGCGGCCTGGTCCCCGCAGGCTGGGGAATGGGGCCTCGGGCAGGTGAGGGCCCCTACGTGAGCGAGCAGGAATTGCAGAAGGTGTTCACCAGCATCGAGGAGCTGAGGTGGGCGGGGCCTAGGGGCGGGGCCTCGAAACGAGGTGGGCGGGGACTCAGGGGTGGAGCCTCGAGGAGCTGCGGTGGGCGGGACCCAAGGGACGGGGTTCTCAAAGAGAGGCATGGGTGGAGACTCAGGGAGCCTCGTGGAGCTGAGGTGGGCGGTGATATCGGTGGAGCCTCGAGAACCTGAGGTGGGAGGGGACATGGGAGGAGCCTCGAGGAACGAAGGTGGGCAGAGGCGTGGGCAGTTTCCGGAGCTGCAGTGGGCGGGGACACAGGGGAGGATCCTCAAAGATTTTAACCGGAGGACGACAAGCCTGGGGTCTCCAAGAGCAGAGGAGGGAGTGCCCCGAAGGCAGTGACCTGAGCAAGGGAGGGACAAAATAATGAATTTTTGAGTTCTGGGCTGCTGGGAGGCAGGTCCAGGCCTGGTGAAGCTGAGGTGGGCGGGGCTTGGGAGAGGAGCGGTCCTGGAGGCACTGAGTGGGGCAGAGTAGGGTGGGCAGTGCCTTGGGGGGCAGTGTGTGGAGGAGCCCAGGTAGAGGTTGGGGACCTGACCAGGGAAGGGCCAAGACAGCCAGTAAAGTAAGGGGATAAAGGCGGGGCTCTGGAAGACAGGACCAAATTTCACCAAATGGAGGGTGCAAGAAAATTTGGAGACCTGGGTGGGTCTGGAGCCACCTGCATGGTCTCAGTGGGGCGAGGTAGGTGAGTCCTGTTCCGCCTATCTCGTGGGGGCAGATGGGGACCTGTCCAAGCCTAGCCCCGACCCATTCCCCCTCTCTGCCCCTCCAGGAGAGAGGTGTCCTCGCTGACCGCCCGGTGGCATCAGGAGGAGGGGGCGGTGCAGGAAGCCCTGCGACTGCTCGGGGGCCTGGGCGGCAGGGTCGACGGCTTCCTGGGCCAGTGGGAGCGGGCACAGCGCGAGCAGGCACAGACGGCGCGGGGCTTGCAGGAGCTGCGAGGTCGGGCGGACGAGCTGTGTACGATGTAAGGACTGGGTGGCCAGTGCTTGGGAAGACCGGAAGGGGCAGGGCGATCCCAACCCAAGGGGGGGGGCCTTGAGGGAAATGGGTAGGCCAATCAGCTATGGCCAGGCATTCTGGAACATATAGCGACATGGGGAAACACCAATTAGAGAGCAGGAAGGGTTGCATCAACCCTAATAAGGCCTGAGGGGTGGAATCAATTAGAGAAGGGGTGTGGTCTATACCTTAAAAGGACAAAGGGTGGGGTCAAGAGGGATCTGAGAAAGCCAATTAGAGAACTAGGAGGGGCATTCCAAACAATAATCTACAAAAGGTGGCCCAGTGAGGTGGCTCACGTCTATAATCCCAGCACTTTGGGAGGCCGAGGCGGGCGGATTACTTGAGGCCAGGAGTGCAAGACCAGCCTGGGCAACATAGCGGAGACCCTATCTCTACAAACAATTTAAAAATTAGCTGGGAGTGGTGTGGTGTCGCACCATGGTAGTCCTAGCCACTCGGGAGGCTGAGGCAGGAGTGACCGCTTGAGCCCAGGAGTTCAAGGCTTCGCAGAGCTATGATGGTGATGCTGCACTCCAGCCTGGGCAACACAGCCAGACCCTGGCTCAAAATAGTCAATAGATAAATAAACTACCATAACATAAAATAAAATACAAAAAGTGAGGCCAGTCAGAGCAGAGAGGGGAGGGCAGGGTGGAGAATTGCAGACCAGATGGAGACATAAGTGGTGGACTAATAATGGGTGGAGTCTTGCCAGGGTTATACCGCTCAAGAGGGAGCCGGCAGCACTGGTTACTCATGCCTCAGGGTAGAGCGGTCAGCAGTGTCTGTGGCTTCACTGAGGAGCGAACTGGAGGGGCTGGGCCCACTGAAACCCATTCTGGAGGAGTTCGGGCGGCAATTTCAGAACTCTCGAAGAGGGCCTGACCTCTCCATGAACCTGGATCGGTCCCAACAAGGCAACTGTGCCCGCTGTGCCAGGTAATGGGGCTAGGCCTGCCTCTGGGAGCCTTGTGGATAGAACATTAAAGGAGATGTGGAAGGAGATGGGACATTAGTGAAGGGTGGGGCGCTGTTCATTTGGGAGACAAGGCATTCCAGTGCATGGTACAAACAGCCAGTCCTGCTGCACTAGAAGCCTCATTTGTTCCCACTCTACAAGGTAAAATCAGTGTCTTGTGGAACTCAAGAGAAACTTGGTATAGACCGGGCGCGGTGACTCATGCCTGTAATCCCAGCACTTTGGGAGACCAAGGTGGGTGGATCACTTGGTATCAGGAGTTCGAGACCAGCCTGGCCAATGTGGTGAAACCCCGTATCTATCAAAAATACAAGAATTAGCTGGGCGTGGTGGCGTGTGCCTGTAATCCCAGCTACTGAGGAAGTTGGGGCATGAAAATCACTTGAACCCGGGAGGCGGAGGTTGCAGTGAGCTGAGATCACAACAATGCACTCCACCCTGGTAGGCAGAGTGAAACTGTGTATCAAAAAAAAAAAAAAAAAAAAAGGAAAAAGGCTGGATGCAGTGGCTAACACCTATAATCCCAGCACTTTGGGAGGCCAAGACAGGCAGATCACTGAGGTCAGGAGTTTGAGACCAGCCTGGCCAACATAGTGAAACCCCGTCTCTACTACAAACACAAAAATTAGCTGGGCGTAGTGGTGAGCGCTTGTAATCCCAGCCACTCGGGAGGCTGAGGCGGGAGAATCTCTTGAACCTGGGAAGTGGAGGTTGCGGTGAGCCAAGATCGCGCCATTGCACTCCAGCCTGGGCGACAGCAAGACTCCGTCTCAAAAAAAAAAAAAAAAAAAAAAAAAAAAAACAACTTGGTACATTTTGAACATCATATTTCCAGTGCATTGAGGGAAGGCTGGGATGTGAACATGAGGGGAGGCAGGGTTTCAGTGCACTGTGGGGGAAGTGAGACCTTGGTGTATTGTGGGAGCCAAGGGATACACCATTTTTGGTCCATTGTGGGAAGGTCCATTGTAGGAAAGGGGGACTCACAATACAACATGAAATCGAGTTTCACTAGTGCATTATAGGAAGCGTTAGTTATAACAGCCTTTCTAAACTCAGGGTTGTCTGGTGTCCTTAGGAATGGTGATTCCAGCCGGGCGTGGTGGCTTATGCCTGTAATCCCAGCACTTTGGGAGGCCAAGTGGGAGGATCACCAGAGGTCAGGAGTTTAAGACCAGACTGGCCAACATGGTGACAACCCATATCCACTAAAAACACAAAAATTAGCTAGGTGTGGTGGCAGGTGCCTGCAATCCCAGCTACTCAGGAGGCTGAGGCAGGAGAATCGCTGAACCCAGGAGGCAGAGGTTGCAGTGAGCCCAGATCATGCCACTGTACTCCAGCCCGGGTGACAGAGCAAGACTCCATCTCAAAAAAAACCAAAAAAGGTCCAGGCCCAGTAGCTCACGCCTGTAATCCCAGCACTTTGGGAGGTTGAGGTGGGCAGATCATGAGGTCAGGAGATCAAGACCATCCTGGCCAACATGGTGAAACCCTGTTTCTACTAAAAATACGAAAATTAGCTGGGTGTGGCGGCACATGCCTGTAGTCCCAGCTACTTGGGAGGCTGAGGCAGGAGAATCGCTTGAACTCGGGAGGCGGAGGTTGCAGTGAGCCAAAATCGCGCCACTGCACTCCAACCTGGGTGACAGAGCAAGACTTCGTCTTAAAAACAACAAAAAAGAGTGGTAATCCCCAGAGCACCATGGAAACCAAGGGACAGCTGGTGCACAGTCCATGCTGGGAAGGTTGCATAGGGTGCATACTGGAAACAAGGCCAAATGGAGGCTGTGCAGGTGAGCATGGGGCACCCTGGACTTGGTACTGGACCTCTTTATCTGGTGACCACCCCTCCCCCAGCCAGGGGTCGCAGTTGTCCACGGAGTCCCTGCAGCAGCTGCTGGACCGAGCGCTGATCCCGCTAGTGGACGAGGTGAAGCAGAGGGGCCTGACTCCTGCCTGTCCCAGCTGTCAGAGGCTACACAAGAAGATTCTGGTACCAGGGAATATGGGCCACCATGTCCCACTTTACTTTTCTGTTGGGGCAAGGAGAGGGGAGCCCCGGACTCAAGGGTACTGCTGGTGTGTGGCAGGAAAGGAAGGGCAGAGCTGGGAGCAGCAAGCACTGGGGGAGGACTTGGCCCTGATGCATGGGGAGACGGACAAGCAGTTTGGTGGTGAGTGAGTCACAGGCCAATCATTACGAAACCTCAGAAGGTGGACTTGGGCCTAAAGCATGATGGGACATTGGATCTAGTGCATTGTGGGACACGAGACAGGCACCAGTCTAAAGCTTCATGGAATATAGGCCTGATTTTCTCTAAATTTTTAGAGAGGCAGTACATTGTACGAGATCATTGGGGTCAGCTATATTGAGGTAAGATAGGAGACCCAGTGACTGTAAGTCCCAGTTAGCTGATGCGTTATGGGAAATGGAACCACAGCTCTTCCTGGGGCATTGCACAACACACTCAGCCCAGTAGTTGGTGGAACTTGAGCCCTAGTGCACTGTATTATGGGATGTTGACCTAATGTGCTATGGGATTATGTTGTAGTGGGTGAGACAGACAAGTGAGGCATTGTGAGACACTGATGTGACTGAGCTATACGAATAATACATGAGAGGACGTGGGGTTTGGTGCAGTTGGACATAGAGAACTAGGGCACTAAGGATTGTTTTTTGTTTGCTTTTTTTGTTGTTGTTGTTGTTTGTTTTGTTTTGTTTTTGAGACGGCATCTTGCTCTGTCGCCCAGGCTGGAATGCAGTGGCCGGATCTCAGCTCACTGCAAGCCCCGCCTCCAGGGTTCACACCATTCTTCTGCCTCATCCTCCCGAGTAGCTGGGACTACAGGTGCCCGCCACCACGCCTGGCTAGTTTTTTGTATTTTTAGTGGAGACGGGGTTTCACTGTGTTAGCCAGGATGGCCTCGATCACCTGACCTCATGATCCGCCCACCTCAGCCTCCCAAAGTGCTGGGATTACAGGCATGAGCCACCGTGCCCGGCCTTTTTTTTTTTTTTCTTTTTGAGACAGAGTCTCACTCTGTTGCCCCAGGCTGGAGTGCAGTGGCACCGTCTTGGCTCATTGCAACCTCCACGTCCCAGGTCCAAGAGATTCTCATGTCTCAGCCTCCGGAGCAGCCAGGATTACAGGCATATGCCACCACACCCGGCTAATATTTGTACTTTTAGTAGAGACGGGGTTTCACCCTGTTGGCTAGGCTGGTCTCGAACTCTTGACCAAAGTGCTGGGATTACAGGTGCGAGCCACTGCACCCGGCCAGGACTTTTGTGTGAGAGGTGCTGGTCTAATGGATAAGGAGATGTGGGGTCTTCTAACTTATGGGATGTAGGAGGCCACCATATGGTAGGATACTGGGGCACATACACATATCAAATGTAAGATAGTTCATGAGCTTAGGAGACAGATGATAGACACTGATTTAGTGCTTGTGGGCCATAGGTCAGTGCATCATGGGACAGACAATAGGACAGACATAGGTTTAGTCCACAACGGAATCTGGAGACCAGTGCATTGTGGGATGCTGGGGTCAGTTTCAAGCTCAAGGCATGATGGGAAACTCTGAGGGAGAAATGTGGGCCCCATGGGACCCTACGCTTTGCCCTCCGCAATCCAGCTCCCCCTCCACCCCCAGCCCAGTCCAGCAAGCCCAGCTACACCTACGCTCCTCTCCCCAGGAGCTGGAGCGCCAGGCCTTAGCCAAACACGTCAGGGCAGAGGCCCTGAGCTCCACCCTTCGGCTGGCCCAAGACGAGGCCCTGCGGGCCAAGAATCTACTGCTGACAGACAAGATGAAGCCGGAGTGAGGAAGGAGGCTGAGGGCATGGGAGGAGGGTGAGATCTTGGGGAAAGGGCCTGATCTCCCCTTCCACTCGAACACCCCAGCACCTAGCCATGTTGCCATCAACTCCCCACTGCCTCATGACAGGGAGAAGATGGCCACTCTGGACCATCTACATTTGAAGACGTGCTCCCTCCACGATCATCTCAGCAACCTGCCACTTGAGGGGTCCACAGGAACAATGGGGGGAGGCAGCAGTGCGGGAACCCCCCCAAAACATGGGGGCTTAGGCCCTGAACAATAAATGGCCCCTCATGCTGGCATGAATTCTGTCTGCTTTTTTGGCACCAGAGGGCTAGTGAATTGCCCACACACCATGCACTCCCTCTATGCCCAGTGTGATTTATTTATTTTAATTAATTTGATTATTCTTTTTGAGACAGATTCTCACTCTGTCGCCCAGGCTGGAGTGCAGTGTTGTGATCTCGGTTCACTGCAACCTCTGCATCCTGGGTTCAAGCAGTTCTCCTGTCTCAGCCTCCGAGTAGCTGGGACTACATTCACACACCATCATACCCAGCTAAGTTTTTGTATTTTCAGTAGAAACAAGGTTTCCCCATGTTGCCCAGGCTGGTCTCAAACTCCTGAGCTCAGGCAATCTGCCTTGCCTTGCCTTGTAAAGTGCTAGGATTACAGGTGTGAATCACCACACCCGGCCCACTGTGATTTATTTAATTTTCAGCAAACAGGATGTCGTGGTCCCCAGAGAGGTGCTAATGGTGGCACAGTTCTTTGAGATGGCAATGGAGGTAGAAACAAGGTTCTGTGGTGTAGTTTGGGTCTGTCAAGTCAACATTTTTTAGGCTGATTATTACCAGATAACTATATTAGTTGTCTTGTTTTGTTTTGTTTTGTTTTTTGTTTTTGAGACAGAGTCTCGCTCTGTCGCCCAGGCTGGAGTGCAGTGGCGCCATCTCGGCTCACTGCAGGCTCCGCCTCCCGGGTTCACGCCATTCTCCTGCCTCAGCCTCCCAAGTAGCTGGGACTACAGGCACCCGCCACCACGCCTGGCTAATCTTTTTGTATTTTTTTAGTAGAGATGCGGTTTCACCATGTTAGCCAGAATGTTCTCAATCTCCTGACCTCGTGATCTGCCCAGCTCAGCCTCCCAAAGTGCTGGGATTACAGGCGTGAGCCACCGCACCCGGTTAGTTGTCTATTGTTGTGTAGAAATACCCCATAAGTATTTTTGTTATATGCTTAGTTGCTTAAGGTAACAAGCGTATCTCAACTTCTGAAGGTCAAAAATACAATCAGTTAACCTGACTCCTGGGGTTAGCTCATTGGTCCTGGCTCAGACCCCCCATGAAGTTAGAGTCAAGATGTCAGCCAGGACCAGGTGCGGTGGCTCACACCTGTAATCCCAGCACTTTGGGAGGCTGAGGCGAGGAGATCACCTGAGACCAGGAGTTTGAGACCAGCTTGGCCAACATGGTGAAACCCTGTCTCTACTAAAAATACAAAAATTAGCCGGGCACGCACCTGTAGTCCCAGCTACTTGGGAGACTAAGGCACAAGAATCACCTGAACCCGGGAGGCAGAGGTTGCAGTGAGCCGAGATCATGCCACTGCACTCCAGCCTGGGTGACAGAGCAAGACTCCATCTCAAAAAAAAAAAAAAAGAAGACAATTAGCTAGGTGTGGTGGCACAAGCCTGTAATCCCAGCTACTCCAGAGGCTGAGGCGGGATAATTGCTTGAACCCAGGAGTCAGAGGTTGCAGTGAGCCAAGATCGTGCCACTATACTCCAGCCTGGGTGACAGAGCAAGACTCCATCTCAAAACAAACAAACAAAAAAACAACAAAAAACAAAACGAAAAACACTACAACAAAGGCTATGGGAGTTATAAGTCAGGAACCGTGGACAAAAACCTATATATGATATATAATAACCACCCATCCATACTGTATGACTCCAACTGTAGGACATTCTGGAAAAGGCAAAACTCTGGAGACGGTAAAAAGATTAGTGTTTGTGGCCAGGTGCAGTAGCTCACACCTGTAATTCTAGCACTATAGGAGGCCGAGGTAAGTGGACCACTTGAGGCTAGGGGTTTGAAACAGTCTGGCCAACATGGTGAAACCCTGTCTCTACTAAAAATACAAAAAGTAGCTAGGTGTAGTGGCACACACCTGTAATTCTAGCTACTTGGAGGCTGAGGCAGGAGAATCACTTGAACCTGGAGGTGGAGCACCACTGCATTCCAGCCTGGACGACAGCGTGAGATGTTGTCTCAAAAACAAACAAAAAAACCTGCAGTGTTTGCCAGAGATTGGGGAGGGAGGGATGAACAGGTGGCACACAGAGTATTTTTAGGGCCATGAAACAACTCTGTGTGATACTGTAGTGGTGAAGACATGTCATTATACATTTGTCCAAAACCATGTACAACACCAAGTGTGAACCCTAATGTCAGCTATGGACTTTGGGTGATAATGATGTGTCACGGTAAGTTGATCAGCCATAAAAGAATGTACCACTCTAGACCGGGCACGGGGGCTCACACCTGTAATCCCAGCACTTTGGGAGGCCGAGGCGGGTGGATCACCTGAGGTCAGGAGTTGGAGACCAGCCTGGCCAACATGGTGAAACCCCATCTCTACTAAAAATACAAAAATTAGCTGAGTGTGGTGGCAGGCGCCTGTAATCCCAGCTACTCAGGAGGCTGAGGCAGGAGAATCGCTTGAGATTTTTTTGAGATGGAGTCTTGCTCTGTCACCCAGGCTAGAGTGTAGTGGCGTGATCTCGTCTCACTGCAACCTACGCCTCCCAGGTTCAAGAGATTCTCCTGCCTTACCCTCCCAAGTGGCTGAGACTACAGGCACGTGCCACCAGGCTCAGCTAGTTTTTGGATTTTTTTAGAGTCAGGGTTTCACCGTGTTAGCCAGGATGGTCTGGATCTCCTAACCTTGTGATCTGCCGGCCTCAGCCTCTCAAAGTGTTGGGATTACAGGCGTTAGCCACTGTGCCCGGCCTGGCCTATTATTTATTTACTTATTTATTTATTTGAGACAGAGTCTATTTCTGTCACCCAGGCTGGAGTGCTGTGGCATGATCTCAGCTCACTGCAACCTCCTCCTCCCAGGTCAAGTGATTCTCCAGCTCAGCCTCCCGAGTGGCTGGGACTACAGGCGCCCACCACCACGCCCAGCTAGTATTTTTAGAGATAGGGTTTCACCTTGTTGACCACCCTGGTCTCAAATTCCTGACCTCAAGTGATCTGCCCACCTTGGCCTCCCTAAGTGCTGAGATTGTGAGCCTGAGCCACTGCGCCGGCCAAAAACCAATAGATTTAGATCCCCAAAGATGGCAGAAGTTGAAATGGCCAGATGCAAACCTCAGAACCTAAGTTAATTTAGAACAAGATACTGGACTAATGCTATTATATTTTGGCATTCTTTTTTATTTTTATTTATTTATTTTTTTTGAGACGGAGTCTCGCTCTGTCACCCAGGCTAGAGTGCAGTGGCCCAATCTCGGCTCACTGTAAACTCCGCCTTCCAGGTTCACGCCATTCTCCTGCCTCAGCCTCCCGAGTAGCTGGGACTACAGGCGCCCACCCGGCTAATTTTTTGTATTTTTAGTAGAGACGGGGTTTCACCGTGTTAGCCAGGATGATCTCCATCTCCTGACCTCGTGATCCGCCCGCCTCGGTCTCCCAAAGTGCTGGGATTACAGGCGTGAGCCACCGCGCCCGGCCTTTTTTTTTTTTTTTTAAGAGACAGTCTTGCTCTGTTGCCCAGGCTGCAGTTGAACACTGCAACCACAGCTCACTGCAGCCTTGAACTTCTGGGCTCCAGCAATCCTTACACCTCAGCCAAGTAGCTAGGAATATAGGTGCGTGCCACCATGCCTGGCTAATTTTTATAAGTTTTTTTTGTAGAGGCAAGGTCTTCTATAGAGTGGCAGTGTTTTCAGTGTTTTCAGTATTCTTCTTCTTTTTTTTTTTTTTTAAGACAGAGTCTTGCTCTATTGCCCAGTCTGGAGTACAGTGGCACAATCTTGGCTCACTGCAACCTCCACCTTCCGAGTTCAAGCGATTCTCCTGCCTTAGCCTCTCAAATAGTTGGGACTAAAGGCGCGTGCCACCACACCTGGCTAATTTTTTTGTATTTTTAGTAGAGATGGAGTTTCACCATGTTGGTCAGGCTGGTCTCGAACTCCTGACCTCAAATGATCCACTCTCTTGGCCTCCCAAAGTGCTGGGATTACAAGTGTGAGCCACCATGCCCAGCCTTCTTTATTCTTTTCTTTTTTTTAATTTTAAAAATATTTGAAAAATTGAGCCTGGCACGGAGGCTCATGCCTGTAATCCCAGCACTTTGGGAGGACGAGGTGGGCAGGTCAAAAGGTCAGGAGTTCGAGACCAGCCTGACCAACATGGTGAAACCCCGTCTGTGCTAAAAAATACAAAATCAGCCAGGTGTGGTGGCGGATGCCTGTAATCCTAGCTACTCAGGAGGCTGAGGCAGGAGAATTGCTTGAACCTGAGAGGCAGAGGTTGCAGTGAGCCGAGATTGCGCCATTGCATTCCAGCCTAGGCAACAAAGTTAGACTCCATCTCAAAAAAAAAAAAAAAAAAAAATTGAAAAATTGAGACAGGGCCGGGTGCGGTGGCTCACACCTGTAATCCCAGCACTTTGGGAGGCTGAGGCGGGTGGATCACGAGGTCAGGAGATCGAGACCATCCTGGCTAACACGGTGAAACTCCGTCTCTACTAAAAATACAAAAAATTAGCCGGGCGTGGTGGTGGGCACCTGTAGTCCCAGCTACTCGGGAGGCTGAGGCAGGAGAATGGCCTGAACCCGGGAGGCAGAGCTTGCAGTGAGCCGAGATCACGCCACTGCACTCCAGGCTGGGCAACAGGGCGAGACTCTGTCTCCAAAAAAAAAAAAAGAAGAAAAAAAAGAAAAATTGAGACAGTGTCTCACTATGTTGCCCAGGCTTGTTTGGAACTCCTAGACTCAAGGAACCCTCCTGCCTTGGCCTCCCAAAGTGCTGGGATTACAGGCATGAGCCACTGTGCCCAGCCTGACAATGTTTTCTTTATATCCAGGGCTTTTCGCCCAAGGAGTTAATACCCCTCCCCGCTAGTACACCTCTGAGCTCAAAGGGAAAGCACGGAGTTATCATATTTCCCTCCATAAAAGACAGAATAGGGAACTGGCATTTCCTCAAAGTAAAAATACCCTCTCTAACAGACAGAATATACCTGGAAATACCCTCTGTGTCTGGCAGAATAGCTGATTTCTTCAGGTGAA